TAGTTTCAACTAATTACTACCATCTACCCTCCTGTCTGAGGATGTTGGTTGATAATTTTCTTTTCATTGGAACGTGGTTTGCATTACTGGGTGCATGTGTCATGCCAAGCTATCGAACGGTAAGTAGGCAGGGTACTCCAATCCTACATCGGACATGAAAGGAGAGTCACTGGGGTATAAAAACGTTGGCGCTCCATACTCTGTTAAGCCAGTTTTGAGGAGAGAGGGTAATGGCCATGTGACACATGGATCCAGAAATATAAGGAAATTGTGAATTTGAATTACCAGAAATATAAGCACTAAATCCTATGAAATTGTGAATTTGAATTACCGCCTAAATGGAAGATTGATTTCCAAATTCTATAGCTAATGTTATCTCGAATTCATATTGGCACTAAATTTTATTAGTTTCATGTATTGTCTATGTCATTTTCAACAATCAACATCCAAATTCATTTTATTAGTTCTTCGCATCCAATTTAACAACTAACATTTCTTGTACATGTACTTCCAGGAACTTTCTCTAGAGGGCATGTGTTTAAGTGTTGTCCCATCCGAAGTATGGAATCAGGTAAAATCATAAAGTAAACCTTTCCAGAAATTCCATCCAAGAGCTGCCACTTGAACTCTCCTAATGTTTATCCCTTCGGGTATTTGCTCTCTAGTTATCATTTCTTCTATAAGTATAGACTTTGAGTCCGATGAAGTAAAATAATATGTGCATCCATGTTCGTGAATTGAGATAATAGACATTAATATTGTTGCTTAACGTTCCCAAAGGACTTTTGCTTGTGAGATCGATTCTGTAGGCATGAAGTTTAGAGTTCATCCTTGATGTATTATGTATAATCTCTGCCAATCCCACAGATTGGCTCTGTGGGAAGCAGATTGTTCCTGCTTTCTTAAATCGTTATCTGGTTTAATTGATGATCTGCAACTCTCTGGTAACTCGTATTTAAATATGCAGACTTTAATTTTATTGAGGAACAATATTAAAAACTGGCCGGTTGCAATTTTGAAGTCACTTTCCAATCTGTCTTGTTTGAAGCTGGACAATAATCCACTAAGACAGGTAAGCAGGTTTGAATGATGATTCTGTCTTGTACAATATAAATAAGATCATGTGGAAGGAACATGGAATTAATAGTGTTTTGTAAAATTTTTCTTCTCCCTCAAATATTGTTTTTCACCTGACTTCTAATCCTTAACTGTTGAGGGAGCAATGCATGCTTGCGCACAGATAAAATATTGTAATTCATGGTTGCCTCCTAGATATGCGGCAAATCAAATATGCCCAATTGGTTACTGAATGCTATGTTCTTTCAATAATGGATCATCAATCTACAGTGGCTTATGCATCAGATGATTGGATTGATAGGCATCGGAATCTCTGTCTAAGAACATTGATATAATCAATTATTATGGGATTGGTCATGTGTTAAGACATTTAAACTACTGCAATAGGTTGCATATTTCAATTCTTTGCTGCTAGGCTAAATTGGCTATATGTAAAACTTTCAGGGTAATACGAGGACATATGAAACTAATGCCAATAATTGTTTCTGCATCTCAACACATGCATGTTCCTATTTCCATCTGTATGAGCTGAACCATCTCTTATTTACTTGATTATAGGTTCCATCTGATGGATTCCAAGCAATCTCTATGCTCCTGATACTAGATCTAAGTGGGAATGCCGCTTCATTACCAGAGAATCCGGCATTTTCCAGCTTACCACATTTGAAGGAGCTTTATTTGAGGTCGGTGTTCTGAAAGTAATGAGATGCATGTCCACAAGCAAAAGTACAAACACATTAATTTGTTTTTCTTGGCAATCTCTGCACAATGATCTGTGTTTTATTATTGTTATTTTTTTTGGAACATTTGCTATTTGTCTTACTTCTATGTTGACTTGACCGACGAATGCAGCTACGAGAAGTCCCTTCAGAGATAATGAGCTTATGTCTACAGCAAATCCTGGACTTGGGACAAAATTCTCTTCAATCAATCCCAGAGGTGAATGTTCTCTTTTAAGCTGAGCCACTTATTATGAGTTCCTCTTACAAATAAGTTCAGCACGATAGTTAGCATCTATTGCACGACTTTGATATTTGGCATAAACTGACATCACTAACGGTTTATGCAGTAACATCTACTATATGACTGCTAAAACTGCCTGTTTTCTCTATTGATCACATGTGAATGTTCTTACAGTTATGTGAAGTTGAAAATCTGTCTAAAATTCGTTTTATTGAGTGATGAAATTTATTTGGTGGCCCCTCATCCCTAGTTTGCTGTGGTTAGTATAAATCCCATCTAGAAAGAATCATAGCTTTCCACCTACGGCTTTCACATGCTAAAAAAGAAGGGTTATGTTCCTCATTTCCCACTTTGTAGTTACTGGATATGAATATCAATCAGCGTGTCTATACTGGTTGACCCAACCATGTTAAGGTGTGTACCATATCACATGTTTTGTGTTGTTGATGCTGATTGTTGGCCTGCATCAAATGTTTGTCCCTCTGTTGTTCTATCTTCTGACACATGAACTTTCATTTAGTCTATCCTTTGTCGTGATTCATGTGCAGGGACTTAAGACCCTTACATCTCTCACTGAGCTCGACTTGTGTGACAATAACATTTCAGCACTTCCTCCGGAACTGGTCAGAATTAGAAAATCTCTGTACCATCTTTTTTATATTGTTTGGTGTGTGTGGGTTTTGCTTTACTGTGGTCATCGTTCAGATTATATATCAGTATGCTGTTCTTAGATAATGGTTTTTTCTCCAGAGTCTGCTTGAACCAAGCCTCCAGGCTTTGAGACTCGATGGAAATCCGTTAAGAAGTTATGTGGCATTTTGAAAATCCGGACTTTATTTTCTTTAAATTAATTTTTTGCGGTTTTGTATAAACTCTTTGGTTTTGTTTTTAATAAAAAGAAATAATGCTGAAAAAACTACTAGTGCTGAGCTGTAGTTAATAGCAAAACTAAAAATAATTGAACAGAGAAGCATTACAGTTTGCCGAGCTAGTGTGGTTTCATGTTTTCTGTTTCTGTTCGAGTAGAGTCTAGCTCATGAATCTTCAGCTGATTTTCTCTTTACCTTGATTTTTCAGCATCACGAGGCCAATTTTAGACAGGGGAACCAAAGCTATTCTGAAATATTTGAAGGACAAACTTCCAGAGCAATAGTGTGTGAACACCTCTCATTGATTAAGACAGTATGCAACTCTTTCATTTATGTTTGTCCGAAAGCTTGAACTCAAGCAGTAAGGCTTCTGACTTGATTTAAGTAGAGGATGTAGCTCTTTCATTACTGCTGCTGCTTCTCTCGCAGAAACAGATGACTTCAAGGGGAGAATAGGTTCCATTGAACGACCTACCTTGAACTTTTATATGTTAAAAACAACATTGACGATTTTTTCTTGGGGGAATATAATGTGTTGAAACAATGTAATTATTAGGAACTAGAGGAAAATTGCATGAAGGCACAGCTCAACAAAAATAATATAAGCTTAAATTTGTAGTGATAAAACAATAAGTAAGTCAAAATAAATTATATTAATTGGCAATCAGTAGAACTTTAGGAAGGGCTCCAATAGAGATTTGGCATTGGGATGATCCAATTCCACCCTCTCCCTCCAAACCTTTGGTCCTATATAGATTTTCTCGATAGGAGTAGAAGGAGACTGACGATGACCGTCATCAAGCTGGCGATGATATAGAGGGATCCTCTTTAATTTTCTACAACTCCTTATCCAAATTTCTTGGAGAGAATCACAGACCATTACTCCATTTGCGCTTTTAAATGCTCTTCAATTTTGGTAGGGAAAACAACTCAAATAACTTAATTTGGGAAGAGTAAATTTGATGTTGTTCCTGGTACGTCCCCTTCTTCCTGCATTTCTGATTCTGATGCTATTATTTCCTCCATTTCTTCACATTCGTCAACACTTAACACTTCCAAATCCCTGAGGTTCTGCAACACCCAGTTAAACATGAACAACTTCTTTATTTTTCTACAATTTCTTATATAAATATATTGAAGAAGGAAAATTTGTCATGCAGCACTGGTATAAACCATGAGAAAAATGCATCTTCTTCACAAAAATCGACAATGCAATTAACAATACTCAATTGTTGAATATCGGATGGGAGCTGAATACCATCTCGATTGATTCTGCAACTATTTAATTCAATGCATTTTCTCGAAATAAAGGAATACAAATTGCAATTTCAATTTTACAAAAAAAAAAAGGAATAAAAAATTGCTTTTCTAAGAAAGGTCAAATCATGCAAATGACAGGACGAAAAAGCTTTTTATGAAGGAAGTAAAACAGTGAATTCTGTGCAAAACTGATGATTAATAGAGTTACAATTCAGAGAGTGAGACATGTTTTTGTTCCACCATTTGCCTCACTGGGATCATTTGGTGTCTCATACAAAGCAATCGTGGTTACAAAGGCATTTTCTTCAGCTGGGAATTTCAATTTGTTAGGAAAAAATAGCAAACTATCACTCCCTTTCTGCTGCAAAATTTGTCTTCACTTTTGACTGTACTGGCCGTGGCACCTACTCCTTGATCTTTTGGCTCTCATTCAAATAATGGTTATGATGAATAGAGCTCCTGGGTGATCAGTACAGCCGTATCTCTTACAAAATCATGCATTTTGACTCTTCCATATCCAACATTTACTAACAAGCAATTGTCAATAAATTTTCCTAGGATTGCCTGGCCGCTGTCAATGTTGGCTTGCATGTTGCCCATATCATCTATTAATCCTTTTCTAATCCAGCCCCTTATCAGCTGCTCCTTCTGGATCCCTGAATATTCATGATATGATGCAGTAGTGAGGAAACAATTCCGAATTTTGGGATCATTCAAACGATCATAGCTGAATCTCAATTGCTGATATACCATGCCTTTAACGTCCACATCCATGACAGTCTGTACATTCGGTGTCAATTCTTCCAATGCATTCCTCCATATAGGAAGGCTCTATTCACCTTTCATACTACTGGCAACTGTGATTATTGCCAATGGCAAACCAGCACAACGCTCAGCAATGGATCTTGCAAAAGGCACTAAAACTGTAAAATTCATTAGATTTTGACCAACCTTGTCCAAGAACAATGTCCACGCGTCTGCTCCAGGAAGCAGTTCCATTTTTATTACTTGACAATTCATGCGTCGACATACATCCAATGATTGGGATGTTAGAACTAATTTACTCCCATTACTTGCAGTAGGCTCAGGAATTCCAACTTCCTCTAGAGAAAAATTGTCCAACACATCATCTAAGATTAACACATACCTGCCCTTTTGAGCCAATATTTCAGATAACATCCCTGCTCTTATTGTTTCATCTTCATCTTCTGAAATAACAGCATTAATTGCCTGTGCAATTTTATTCTGTAGTTCAATAAAACTGCATTTCCTTGACACAGTGATCCATACAACAATATTAAACTGGTTTGCATCTTTTAAGAGTTCATTGTTGACAAGCTTGACGATGCTTGCTTTCCCAACTCCTGGCATTCCATGAATTCCAATCTTTTGAACCTCTTTATTATCAGGTATCCCAGAATTTCATTCCTTTTAAGTGCTGCTGTTTCACCAACTAAACTTGGTATCGGCAACAGCCGTCCAATCCGCAAAGGATCATCAACAACCAAACCATCAGAAAATCTACCCTTTCCAAGAAGTTCTTCAACTTCTTCTATCTTTTTACAAACATTGTTTTAAAGGAATCCACGTGAGTAAAAGCTGCTAGGTCCAAGTGCTTCGGATTCTAGGTTCTGTACTTCACCATTTACCCTTTCAACTGTTTCCAACCACAGTTTAACTTCTTTCTTGACTTTCTTTCTTGGATGCAGCTAGGCTTTAATTCTTGATGCTGTGTCTTCTTTCTGGCCATTTAGTTCCTCTCTTTTGCTCTTCAGATTATTTACATTCTGATCAAGGCCTGTAGGGAATTTCCAGTGGTTTCCTATAAAACCCCATATAGTATTTCCAGCTTCAAAAACTTTTCCTACTTGTTCAGTAAAGTCCCTCCATAACACCCGAAATATGGCATTAGAATGCATTGTCATGACAAATAAACTCTAAAAGAACTTAATTTGTTAACAGATTAATTTGTTAACAGATATTTTAAGAAGCCTGTTATAGGGGAAAAAAATGTTGGACATTTGCTCAGAAATTTAGTATGATTTCTGATTATTAACTCCATATTTTGTGACTTTTGGGAACAAATTCTTCATTTTCTTATTACTACTCGTCAAAAGTCCTGCTCATAAACCCCAGGCCAATGCTGCAAAAAATAATAGAAATAATAAAAACGAATAATGTCAAAAAAGTCTATAACAGTCAACATTCGTAACCAAAATTTCCATATACATGAGATTTTTTAATGATATGGCCATTCTAAGACAATGAAGAATCTGATTTTGGATAGAGATATAGATGTATGCCTGGTTTCTTGAGGAGAAATCTGGATACCTGCAAAAGAACTTGAAATTTACACATCAATTTTCATTTTTAACTGATGGTAACAACAAATTCCCAAAGTAGAACCCTCCAGCAACTTCAGTTTAAACTGCATACTTTGCTGACTTAAGTTCCCCATCCAAACATTTAATTCTAAAAGATTACATGGGTTTTTCGATTACATGGGTTTTTCAGTTCATAATTAATTGTTTGATCAAAAGATTCATGCATCTTGAGCATGAAGAGACGAAAAAATTAAAGCATATTAATAATATAAAAACAAGTTAATAACCCAATCAATGTGAAGACTCAAGTCAACAAGTAAAGGTGAGAAAGTAATAGCAGAGCAGAGCAGAAAAATATTTCATTAACAAGCATGAACTTTCGCACAATTCGTAGAAACGTGGAATTGGAAATTAAAATTACCTGATACTTGAAGAAAAGGCCCAGCTAATAAAAAGAAGGAAATTCCCTTGCCGACAGTAGAATCTTGGTAGAAGATAGAGTTGGCATCGGGGTGGGGCGGGGCGGTTTTTTGCTTTCCTCGCCTCCGACTTGATGCTTCAATGTTTTACCTGATACCCGATCCATACCCGCTCGGAGGTTGTTATTGAAAAACCCGACCCCGACCCGTTAGAATATTTTTTTACCCAAATTTAACCCAACCCGACCCGAATTCAATATACTACCTATTTAAATTTACCAAAAATGTAATAACTTATAATCTAAATATATTACAAGCATTAACAAATTTAACATAATCACTCATAAATTCAAACTTAGTACATACTATTTTTTTATCTAGTAAAAATCTCATAAATTCTCATCATAAATAATAGAATTATAAAATACATAAAATATAGTAAATTCAAACTCACAAATTCTTACCATAGATGATGGGATTATGAAATATATAAAACTTAGTAAACTAAAATTCAAATATTAAACAAGCATAAGTTAATAACTAAATTTAAACATAATACATGATACAAGATGAACATCAAAAGCTTAAATCACCACAATAAAAAGCTAAATTGTTTGAACATCCTTTCATCCAACATGATAAAAATCTTTCAAGACCACAATAAATCATTCCATCATCACTAAGCTCCATATCATCATTCTCCTGTAACCACACTAGTCCTATAAAATAAAACAATAAGATGAATAAATAAATCTCATAAAATAATATATTTAAAAATAATAATATAAAAATGAATTAATTAAAAAAGATAATATTATTTACCAAACTAGTTATCTTTTCCTCAATCTCACTCTCATCAACATCTTCGTGAAAATACTTTTCTTCTAATGAAATTGACCCTACAAATAAAAAATAAACTATTAACAAATAATATATAACAACAAAATATAATAACTAACAATATGCTAAAATAAAAAATAAAATTGCATAATATACATTATTGTACCTTCTTCTTCAGCCCATAACCAATTTTGACAACATGTTAAAGCTTCTATAGTTGATGGATGAAGTCTATTACGTTGCGCACTCACCAATCTCCCTCCGGTACTAAAAGTAGACTCTGAAGCAACAGTAGAAAATTGGTATGGCATAAATATCTCTAACAATAAGTTGTAAGGTCGGAAATTGAGGTCTAGTTAGTTTCCACCAATTCAATATATCAAAATCTCCTTTTCTTGGTATGACTTTTTCATCCAAATAGCGATCTAACTCTGATTTTACTTTTGATTTTTTCTTTTTTTTCCTTGAAACAAAATCATCATAGTCTCCCAAATTTCCCAATTCAGTAGCATCAACACCATCTAATGAAAAGCTTGAACTAGAAGGTCCTTCTTCCTTTTTCAAAGCTAATTTCTCCTCATACTCCTTAAGCAAATCCCGACATATTTGTACAATCCTTTCAATTTCAAATTCAGCATTTTCTCCATAAATCTTTTCAAAGTAATACTCCAACAACTCTGTTTTGTATCTTGGATCTAAAATTGTGGCAACACCCATTATACCATGCACATTATTCCAATATTTTTCAAATTTGCCTAACATGCTCACAGTCATACATGAAATAATTCTATTGGTATGCATAATCCATTCATTCAATGCCAATCTGATTTTGCAAACATTAGGAAAATAAAGATTTGCAGTAGCATATTTTGTGCCAGAAAAACCTTTAGTGATATCATAAAACAATTTCAACTTCTCACAAATCTCAGTTGCAATGATCCAATCATTTTCAGTTGGCAAATATTTATGCAAAGGATCACCATGTAATTGCACACAACGAGGAAAGACATCTTTATAAAACAAAGCTGTTCGAAGCATTAAGTAAGTAGAGTTCCATCGTGTTTTGACATCAACACACAACTTTTTTAAAGTTGGAATGCGCAATTGACGCGCTGCCTCTTCAAATTTTTCCCATCTCTTTGGTGTAGCACTCCAAAAGAGGACACTATCACAAATTCTATCAATTCCATCTCCAATCACACTCAATCCATCTTTCACAATCAAATGCAAGATGTGTGCACAACAACGCATATGAAAAAAAGTCTCACTAAGCAAAAGTGCATCACAACCAATTCTATCAATTAACAACTCAATAACACCATTATTCACACTACAATTATCCACTGTAATAGATGAAAGTTTTCTATCAATATTCCAATCTAAGAAACATTTCATCAAACTTGAAGTAATGACCTCTTTCGTATGTGGAGTTGGCACATATTCAAACCTAATTAAACAATCAATTATTTACACTAATTTAATAATTAATTCAATAATAATAATTACTTAATAAAAAATGAACAATATCTAAATAAGACAATTTAATAAAATATACCTGATGATGCGTTTTTGTAAGTTCCATTGATTATCGATGTAATGAGCAGTGACAGCCATGTATCCTCTTTTTTGGTGATCAGCAGTCCACATATCAGTTGTGATAGCAATTCTCCCTTCATTAGCTTCCAACTTAGATATTGTCTTTGCCTTTTCCTCTCTGAAAATCTTTAAAATATCACTATTTATAGTATTTCGAGAAGGCATAGCAAACAAAGGTTGGAGACTGTAAGAATACTTTCTGAATTGCACATGATCAACCATTGATAAGGGGTATTCATGCATGATTATCATCTTGGCAAGCTCCCTTCTTGTGACATTTTGATCAAAGGAAAAGTTTTTTAATGTTACTTTTCCATCTGCCTTCCTTTGATTTGCTAGCAACACTTGTTGACGAATATCCATTTGAAATCGTTTGCTGCACCTCTCTGAATGATCACGCAAATGACTTGTCCCATTCTTAGAAGCACCACCAAGTTTTTTCTTACAATAATTGCATATTGCCTTCCATTCATTATTGATCTTCTCTTTTCTAAAATGTTTCCATACTTCTGATTTTAACTTACTTGAGTTATACCCACTATTATCAACTTTAGCACCCTCGTTGTCACACTTAATGATGGAGTTGTATTTTCGTCAGATGTTGGAATAGGAGTTTGCTGAATTGGTGACTGATGTGAGGTAGAAGTAAGAGGTGTTGGGGAAACTCCCAAATTAGACATTTCACCTTCATTCATAAAAAAAAAAATTAGAGTTATTATTTTTTATATTAACAAATAAAGCAACTAAATAAATTAACTGTTACTAAAAGCATAAGGACAACTATTCTTTTTCACGTTTCTCAGCATCCATTTCTCAAGACTTTAATATTGTACTTAAGTTTCCTTAAATTTCTTTAAAACGAAACTGGAATTCCAACTTGCCATTGGAGATTTTAGGCCTATCATACATTAGAGAGCATGATTATTTTTACTCATTTTTTCTTGCAAAAAGAAAATAACAATAAAAGTCTAGTGTAATAATTTTTTCCTTTGATAGTTCATATCATCCAATTCAAACAGTTACTCTAGCATTGACTCCAAGCAACAAAAGCATTTAATCCAGTTACTCTAGCATTGACTCCAAGCAACAAAAGCATTTAATCACAAACTTGAAGATGATGATTTTATACAGACTTTTCTAGGTTGAGACCACAAGTAAAATAATATTACATATTCTCCTATTGTCACAACTA